ACGGACAGAAGAGCGAAAGACGACTAGAAGAACAGTCTCGATCCCTGCTCTAAGCGATGGGCAACAGAGGTTCTGGCTTGCCCCCATTCGGCACTTGGAAAGGTCACCTCGAGAGCGCGTCGTCAGCTCTCGCCAGATTGGGTTGGATACAGAAGCAGACATTGTGCGTCGTCAAGGCGCCCCAATGCCGATAGAACATTGCTGGGCTAAAAGTCGAGTGTGCCATTGACGTGTGTATTCGCTCAGAGTCATTCTGGAGCAGGGCGCGTGGGTACGGGAAGATGAGTTTTTTGACGTTTCCCTCCCTTCTTCCGTCGATCGAGGCCAACCTGCCACAAAGCCGCCTGCCGGCAACCAGGAAGAGGATCCACGGGGCAGTCGCTATAGGCGCGGAATGGCACCAGGAAGCAGAATATGGCGTCCGATTGACTGTGCTTTACGCCCGACAAGGCCGAGATTGCATCGAAACGACGCCGAGCCGAAGGGAGCACAAGCGCACAGACACAAGTCAAGTGATGGCAAACCATCGCTCCTTTCACATGCCAACGGGTGTGCATAGCATCGCAAAGATGGGCATCGCAAAGACGACAATTGGTATGCGATTTGACAGTTTCATCAAGTCAGAAGACTCAGAAGACGGAGCTGGTTGGAAATGAGCTCTTCGACAGCGAGCGTCGCGGCAACTGGCCGACAGGAGCAGGTCTTGCCGCGTGTCGTCGTCGGGGCGACCGGAGCAAATGGTCGCCAAGGCAGCCATACGAAGTGCCTGGTGATGCAGGTACAGTGGACAGATAGCGTCGGTTAGTGCACAGGACAGGAATGATGAATATGGAAGAAATGACAATGTCCGTTAGCAGAACAAAAGTGGACAAATGGAGCAATCAGGAGGAGAGGTGATGCTGCATGCATGGTAGTGCAAAGAGGTTGGTCAAACGGGCGGATAGGAAGGTAGATCGGTCAATTGGTTGGTCGATGGGTGGGTGATTTGGTTGGTTGGATGGTGACTGGCTGGATGGGTAGGTGGAATGGTTGTGGGTGGCTGACTGGTGGCTGGTTGCTTGGTTGATGCGTGGATGGGAAGGTGTGTGTGGGTTGGTTGCTTGGTTGGCTGAATAGTTGGTTGATTGGTTGGTTGTTGGTTGGGTTGGTTTGTTGAATAGTTGGTTGATTGTTCTGTTGATGGACCGAGAAATGACAGG